CGACAAATGTAGTTATTTTATTTCTTTCCAATTTATTTCCTACGTACACAAATGTCGCTGATGCCATTGGCGTACTTCTGAATGTACTCCTGCTCAATTTGAATATCCATGGCTACAATCGTTGATAGATACAATGATCACTCAGAAATACGTTTTTTTCTCATTTTTACTTTGTTTACACATTTCCTATAGCTTTTCATAAATTCACAATACGATCACAAACAAATCTATTGAAATTTGGACAGGACAATGTCTATCGGGTCAGCTAGTTCAAAATAAATATGTACTTAATTATCTTGTGCATTATTGAGTACTTGTCTATGAAGGTTTAATAACTGTCCTTTTTACTTTTTATTTTTCTTGCTGCTATTTTATACCTACAGAGGAACTATATGTTTATACACTTCTACATTTTTAATTTTTAAAATTACTGTTTATTTGATAAATTTGGAAATAAAGACATTGTTATTATTATCATATAATCATAAAAGTTTATCAAAAATGATTGTAATAATAATTTTTCTTCTTTTATTAGTTCCTAATTTTTATAAACATTATTAAAGTGCGCGAAACTTAAAAATACCTTAATTTGTTCGTATCTCGTTTACTTTCCGAGATATAGCCTAGTACACCGACGTTCCTTGCAATTTTTTTCTTTTTATTAGCATTTTTTTGTATTTATTACACTTTCACCTTCGCTTTAACAATTTTTTTTTCTCCAACGCGCCCGCCTCTTCTATTCATTTCCAATCCCCAATTTAATTTCTTTCAAATGTAAACAGCACATCGAAGATCCAACGTAATACTCCATCTCGCTTTCAATATGTAGACTGCGTACCATCGGCTAACTGTAAACAAGGAACAGTTATAGACCATTAATACGATTTCATATTACGCGAATAAGTCGCAGCATGACCTTTTTGTCGCGTCAATTAATAAATGCCTATCCATAGGTTCTCTCATTAAGCCTCGATGCTGCGAGTACCATGACGATTTTAATCATTTTAATGACTGGGCTTAAATGAGCTACGCGTGGTGGAAGTTAATTGTTGAGACCGCTGTATGTCGGAAACGTCATATTATGCCGAGCTACCGATTCAAATCTAAAATACTATAAACACATTTTTCAAGAGGCGCCACTGAAAAAAATAATATTTTTATTACGATGCTACTTACAAACTGAATTGTTTAATTCTTAAAGTTCGTGCTCTAAAATCCAAATTGTCCATTTTATATTTACAGGCTACTATATATTATGATCTGCCTCACCTCAAATATATTTTTTTTGCAAGCGTAAATTAAGTAAAAGACAAATTAATCGTGAAGTATTCTTTTAGATCATATTTTCTAGAAGTATCTATAGTGCCATTTTGGTTTTTATGGACCTAAATGTAATTTTTGTCAGCCTCTTAAGGAGGTATATCGGGGACCGAGGGAAGTGAGGATCGCAAGGGGGGTCCTGTGCTTTTCTTATTGGACTAAAACCCGCTCCAACTTGAAAAAATTAAATTCTATTGAAATTATTTGCGATAAACGTTATCTATATAGCAAAGAAATCTACTCAATATGCACATAGCATACATATTGAAAATTAACAATATAAAAATATCGTATTTAAGTAGTTTTAAATTATATTTAATGAACGCATAAACACTATGTAGATGTGGCAACAGCGCTAATAATCGAGTGCAGTTGTACATATTGCGAACCTACAGACCTCGGACATCGGAGATATTGCGCGTCAAATTCGGGTAAAGTTGCGTACGCGTTCAAAAATGTATTGTGTGTAAACTATGTAAAATATAATTATTATATATAGAAAATATATCGTATTATCCTCGCGAAGATGTGTATCCTTTATTTAAAATCCGTAAATCATGTGAACTGGTAAAACAACGAGAAANTATATAGCAAATATATCGTATTATCCTCGCGAAGATTTGTATCCTTTATTTAAAATCCGTAAATCATGTGAACTGGTAAAACAACGAGAAAATAATTATGTTAATTTAGTTCTAAAGAAATTAAATGACACTCGCGCCCATCTCTTGTCCAAGTCAAAGAAAATGTTGGATGCAATTTTGAAGGGTCTGTGATAGAAATTACATTATTACTCACTGCAACTATAACTAATTTTTTTGATATAAAGTTTGCCGAGAAATATTTATGTTCCTTTGTTATTCTGTACAAATGCTTTTATCTGAAGTATTACCAATTATATGAATAAAGTAAAGAAAACTTTATGTAACCCTAAATATTGCTGGGTATGGATTATGATGTTTTTATAAACCATTAAATATATGAAAAGGATTTATCAACTGTATTTTTTATTCCCATAAATATACCTATTACAGCTTCCTAGCCTTTTTTAATTAATTTAGTTTTTTAAAAACATTACAAAAAATATTCTTTTGTTTTTGCACCAAGTGCATTTTAGTTTTTGCATAGACATTTTTTAAGTCTCCGGAAACCAAATTCATTTTTAATTCCTTTATAAACGAATTTTAAATATGCGCATAATAATGTCAATTTTAACAGTTTTTTATTACTATTAATTTATGTTATATAGTTTCCAAATTTGACTTTAAATCATTTAAAGTGTTTTTCAACTCCTCAGTTGATTGTAAACTTACGCTTTGTCCTCTGGTATATAATATACAATTCAACGACTGTGAGGGACTTTGTATTTAAGAATTTTAAACTATTCATTCCTCTTTCCATTTGAGTGCCTCTTAGCCTACCCAGAACCACTTGAATTGATTCCACGGCGATACATAATGGCACGGTGGTAGTAATAATACACATAAATTATATTATAGAAAGCTACTATTATTCTATGCGGACTATAAGTAATGTCCACTGTAATTTATCTTAATTCGGTGTGCATGTGCCCGGTGAATATCGTTGACAATTGGGACGAATTGTTATTATGATGTATTACGTTGGCAACACCCACAGGCATATTTAGGAGAATTGGACAGGGTCAGGATTTTTCGAGAGCATTACTTTCGCAGTTCACTGTTCTTATTTCATACGCATCTTACAATTAGATTACAATCTTGAAATTTCGAGGTAAAAATTCAAATGTTGAATTCGAAATTCGGATCTACGAGTGTGTAAATTTGAAATTTAGATTTAAACCCACAGTTTCAAGTTCAAACATAACATTTCGAAGTAGGAAGTTTTAAATGGAATTTTGACGGAGAATTCGAAATTTTCGAGTTTGATCAAGAAAATTCCAGTTAGAATTGGAAATCTAATACTTCAAACTTGAAATTATGTGCTAAAATACAAAATATTCAACTTCGAATGCAGACTTTCAACTTAAAATTGGTGAAATTCGAATATAATCTTATACAGAAAAATTTTGAAAAATTGTATTTTTTCCCAAAATTGATTTTTTTTTCGATATTTGATGAATATTAAACGCGAAATTGTGAGGAAAATAACGCAAATAAATTTTTTTCATCTTAATCATCATTAATTGATGTTTAAAGAGCAATAAACCTGCTCCTTTAATTTTTTATAAAAATTTGACGATTCAGGAAAGGAAAACGGTTCGACTGATCGATTTCAAAATTTACAGGCCTCATCAGCATGTATTGAGCTTAAAAAACCTGCAAACATTGGTAGGTATAGCCTTTCCGACCTCAATTGAAGACCAAAGAGCTTTGCAGAATGTACCAGGTTCGGTCGCTATGTAACAACTCTGCATTGAAATATTTGAAAAACTTGTTCCCGTATTTATTTAGTCATACCACTCATACCCATATACAGATCTGGTCGCCCAGTTCCCAGTTGAAGAATGCGCCCGCGGGTAAACGGCAGACAAACACAGGCGACCAGCCATTTTCAGTTGTCGACAAATTGCCTAGCAGTGCAGTGCAGCAATGCGGAATTTGGTGTGATTCAGGTAATATTAATTTATTATAGGCACCTTCTATAATTCATATTACAATTGTGAAAGAGAGAAATAAGAGGGATATTTTGTTTACCAATATTATCACAACATGGCATTTTGTAGACCTTTTGAAACGGAATTATTAAAACCGGTTGTTTATGAAGCAGATTTAGAATTTAAAAATAAAGATTTACATGTTTAACCACAGCGTCGCATTTTAAATATTTACGATTGGTTAAAAAAGGAAGAAAATGAAAAATAGAATAATGAAATTATGTATAAATAGAATTCACATATTAGCTAAAGTTTCAGTGTCCACAATTTTTCGTGTTATTAAACAAGGTGTTATAGATCATTGCGTAAAGAGGAACCGAAAACAAAAATTTAAGAATGTCGATGACATGACGAGACAATTCGGGGGACAATTTATAATTTATATGAAGAAAATTGAGGACATAAATAATTAAAATGCCAAATGACCATATAATATAAATTTTCTACAAATTATATACAAATTATTATTATTTTTTACCTTTAGCAGAAAACTTATTTAGGGACGCCTATGAAGCTCATTACATTTTATTGATAGGCGTTTTTATACATGTTCAACTAACTTCGGAAAGACGAAGTCTTCGTCTAAAATTATAAATATTATGAGAAAAAAAAAAATAGGAAAAAAAAGGAATGATATTGTGAAACAACCGTGTCAAAAGCTTTTGGAAAAAATATTTGCTCTTTTTACTCCCACGTTATTTAATTCTATTTTAAAGGTATTCAGCTAATTCAAATAAATTTAAAAAAACATCAAATGAAATTAAACATGTTCTTCAATACCAGAGATTCTAAGTATGCAAAACATATTTAACCCCACAAAGGAGACAACTGATTGAGCTTGCAACATGAAATCTTGAATCAGAAATCTAAAGTTTCAAGGTCGAACATGAAATTTCTATTTCGAATTCGAAAATTTCTAGTTTAAATAGGTATATAATTTTGGAATCAAAATTTCAAGTGAAGCTTTACCTCGAAAGACAATTTAATCTTCTTAGTAATTTTAGAACCGCACTGTTTCTTAAGACTACACAATTTTTTGTTTCAGGTTTTATCTCGTGTTCTCCTAGCCCGTGCAAAAATGGCGGCACGTGCATATCTTCCCCCAAAGGCGATAGTTTTTGCAAGTAAGTATTTTTTTTGTTATTGAATATCGTACATTGGAAATAAAACCTACAGAATTAAAGATGTTACCTAGCAGTTTAGAAAATCATGAAAAGTCAGTTAATCGAGTTTGATATTACATTAACGAAGAAATTGAGTAATTTTTTCGAAAATATTTTTTTTTGCAAAGAAACTACATACGCTAGTGAAAGGAAAATAATTAGGTACATGGGGATGGTGCAAGAATTTTTTCACTGGAAATAAGTATGGGAATTTATTGCCCAAACCTTATTAGTTGTCATTTGTTTTGACATACATTTAAATTTCCATGTCTATGTCTAGGTATGTCTCAGTGAATATTACAAAAAGAATCCACATATTTTTCAAAAAATGTATTCCCGGAAATTCCAGAAAGAAAACTCCAACTGAATCCCCCACAAAGAAACGTTTAAGACATTATACGTTTAAAAACCGGCTGATTTAGTGTAACATTTTGTAATTTCACCACCTCTATTACTTTTTAATTTTAAACCGCCGCACATAAAACGCACAAAAGAATTAATACATAGCCGTAAAATTAGAATACCGAACTCTCATAAAAGCTCCTTTTATTTTAAAAGCCGCGCGTATGGGCGGATTTTATCGTCCTCTCGCTTTTTATAACCCATTTAATTCGAGTGTAATACGAAGATTACTCCGGTGTAAATCAAAGATGCGTGTGGTACGGGGCGCCCCTGTAAAAATCACAGGTAAAACTCCGTCCACGGCAACGGAGAGTGGCGTGGGCTGAAAAAAAGAGGATTATCTATTATCTTGTGTGCCGTAGAGTGGTACGGGGCACGCCCAGCGCCTCTCTCTTCTTACCTACGGCCGTGTAGGTACAGGGTGAGCGCGGAATCTGCGGGCGCGCCTCAGCTCTAACAATGCCGTTTTCGTATCCTAGTATCAGTAAATGTGACACATACGTTACTCAAGTATATTTGAGCTTACTATTGTCAATCTCAGTTGAAGCTGTATCGACTTTTAAAGATGCAATTTTTCTCGTCGTGCTTTCAATCTGTCAGCTCGCAAAAGTGCCTTGAAATTTTGTTTTTTTTCTATACAGGGTGTTCTCAAAGTTGAGTAATTTATTTTAACAACTGGTAGAACTCATATAAAGATGTCAATTTACCAAAAATCGTTTATATAAAAGTGGTCAAATAAAGCAATTATTAACAATTATTTAAAAAAATTGAAATTTAAAAACTCTAATACCAACCTTATTTATTGTCATTTTCGACCACTCCGTTTTAAAAACATAAATTGTTTGTTTACTACTGATACTGGGTATGTCTTTTTTTTTGTAATTGCACGGTTTTGAGTACGCTTTTCGATTTGACAGCGTTAAATATTTCGTACAGTAGTGCGTGATATTACTTTTGATTTGTGAGTGTTTTGTGCAATAAAAATGGCACATGTTTTTGAAAACAACGAACTAGTGGACATAATATTAACTTACAGGGAGTATGAACAAAATGCAGCCGCAGCATGTCGCTTGTACGCGGAAAGGTTTCCTTTACAAAATTATCCAGCTACATCGATGTTCGTAAATTTAATTATAAGACTCCGTGACACAGGTTGTTTAAAGGAACAACGAGGAGGTCACGCTGGAGGAGGTCATGCTGGAAGACCTCCTCCACGCGAAATGATGTAGATCGAGGAAGAAATTTTAGAAATTGTCGAAAACGACCCAACAACGAATACTAGGTCCATGTTCTTCTTCTTCATCTAGTGGTTGGTCCTTTAAAAGTCCCATTGCAGTGTGGCCTAATTAGGCCTATTGTGCGTCCCACTACTAGTCCTATTCAGCAAGTAGATTTGTCCTTTTTACAAAGTCCAAAAGCTTCCTTGCTGACACTTCTCTCAGGTCCCCCAAGGAGCGCCATTCTGCTACGTGCAAATCCCGAGCACTCGCCCAGGATATGCAGAGAAGTTTCATCCGCCGATTCACATCCTCGGCAGACCGGACTGTCTACAAGCTTTAGTCTATGTAGATGTTTCCTAAAGTGACAGTGTCCCGTTATGAGTCCTGTCACTGTCCATGTTAGTAAATAAACAATTTATCTTCTATAAAAAAAAGACATACCCAGTATTAAACAAACAATTTATGTTTTTACAACGGACTGGTCGAAAGTGACAATAAATCAGGTTTGTATTATAGTTTCTAAATTTCAATTTTTTAAAATAATTGTTAATAATTGCTTTATTTGACCACTTTTATATAAACGATTTTTGGTAAATCGACTTTTTTTGAGTTCTACCAGCTGTTAAAATAAATGACTCAACTTTATAGAGGAGTTATAAGGTTCGTTCTGTGGATTATTAGATTTTTCTCCTCCAACAAAATGTATACTGCAAATTACGCAGTAGGAAAATATTTTTTTTTAATAATATTTTTATATAAACGTAAGGATAAATCATTGACATGTTTTTCCCAACTCAATTTAGTATTAAAATAATCGTAGTCAACTGGTTAATAGCTAAAGTTGTTGACCTTTTGTTCCTAAAACCGTATTGACTAGAATGGAATAAATTATTGTTTTCAAAAATACTCTGCAATTTGCATTTTTAAGGCAGTTTCCAAAACGGGAACAAGAGATATTGGTCCGTAGTTAAATACACACCAGCTTTCTCACCTTTCTTAAAAACAGGAATAACCTTGGATAACTTGAAAACTGTAGGAAATACGTTGGAGCTAATACATTGATTAATTAGTTTAAATAGTGGAAAAATTAAGGTTTTTAAGAGTTTCCAAGATTGGAACATTCAAATCGTAAGCTCGTAAGCATCCTTGCTTTTTTTTACTTTTTAGTTAAGTTATTTAAAATAGTTCTTCCTTCATTAAAAGACAACTCTCTGAATTTAAAAGTCGTTTGTGATTTCGGGGCAGTCAAAAACTCGGAAGGTAACTTGTTGGGAAGCGGGAGCTCACTCAAAAGACCTCTGCAATTTAGCGTTTAATGAATCGCTTACAGGTGAACTGCGATCATTTTTATTTTTTATGAGGTTCCACATTGCTGGTTGTTTATTAGTAGATGTATTTATATAGTTGTCATTGGCGCTTTTTTTGGCTTTAGATAATTGAAGACGATACTTATTGCGATAGGAATTGAAGGTTTCTCTGGACATGGGGGTTGGATGCTGACAATGCATGTCTCTTAAGAAATTTCATTTTTCTCTCATAGTGGCAAGCTCTTGAGTAAACCAGGCAGTATCACTAGATTTGAAATTATGTTGCGTTTTAGTTTTCATTGCTAAACAGACCTCAATTGCTTCTAGTAAAACCTTAAGGTGGCCATATCCCTGACCGAGAAGTAGTCAAATTTCTGGCGTTTTTAGGTACTGAAATATTGAAATTTAAAACGCGTAGAACAAAAGTAAGCACAAAAATAAAATCCTTGGTGTTCTGTTTATTCATTGTTACTATTTAAATTTACTCAAATAAAATAATAACTAAAAAAAACGTTTGTAAAACATGCGTTTGCTGTTATCCTAACCCCACATTTTAAGAATTGTTTCACGTACTTATAAATAAAAGTAAACAATTTTATATGTAGGACTAAGCAAGTAAATGTTATAAGAATATTTACATGTGGAGTTATATATAAAAAAGTTAGTATGTTCGTAGATTTCAGTAACTAAAACCTTGATGGTTTGATCGTTTTTTGCACCTGTTTATTCGTTTTACTGCGGCGTCTTTGAAAATACTCAGATGGCTTGACATAACATTCCTATTATTTGATAAACTTTAGATTATTCAATTATTAAATGTTTGAAATTATTTGTCTCTGTGGAAAACACTATTTAAAGAATATGACGCCCTTAAGAAAAAGTTCATCCTTTATGTCTATATCAATACATGTATCTCTAATAAAACGCCAATTGGAGGAACTAATATGTACTAGTAGGTACATTTAAAGTTATTAGAAAAACATTAAAAAATCTACAATGATAATAATTCAAAATGTATGCCATTTTGCTGAACTCATAGTTGAATACGTTCACATCAACAGTAGAATTTCGGGTGAAATGTATCTGAGAGCTGACCTTTTTCAATTTTGCATATCTTGCATTGTGGGAGGCGAAGAAAAGATTTTAATTGTTGTAAATCTTCACAAGAGAAAGTCACAGTTTTATATCGTAAGATCAGTTAGCCAATTAAGGGGCCTCACCCAGTCAATTTATGTGGAAAATGCTAATTTAAAAGATTGTTTTTATTATTTTTGATTGGAAACAGTGCTAATTATGTGGTATCCAATTTTTTAACGATGAAACAGTAACAAAAAATCGATTATCCCTCATATTATAAGAAATTACATGTATTTATATCAAATTTAATATAGGGTCTTATTAGTTATTAGTGTGCATAAGACAGGTTTTTGTGGGGATACTTGAAATTTCCGAGGATGCTGCGATTGCCATTTTTTTTAAACATCGATTAATGGTTCGTATCTGTTAGGTAGGTCCTACATTCCATGGGATATCTATCTAATCTATCATCTACAAGGTGTTTCATTAAAAAAATTAAGTAACCTAACTCTTAGAAGGAATGGGACGTACGGTATAATGGAGAGAAATTTAAATGTTATCAGAGCTATGGAAGAATATGTACGTCTTGAATGGGACACCTGTATGTCACACCGAACTGTTCATTTTTTTATATAACTGGCAAAAGTCTCTCTACAGTCATAAAAATTGTGACAAATCCGAAATTTATTTGTGTTTCTTTTTATAATTGCTCTACTGCTGTTGTTAAACTCATAATAACTAAGCATCGTATTATCAGGCAGGTTAACAGCATTTTTGTGTACACTGTAGCACAAATAAACCGTGTATTTATCAACCATTTCCCAATACAAAACAGTTAAACATTTTACCTTTGTTATACAACTGAGTAAACAAGCAAAAAACAGAGAAAGGGCTCCCGAGGTTCCAATGGTTGTGTTTATCATTGAAATCGATTTACTTTCACTCACGTCTACAG